GACACTTTCAGGAATGGGGAATCCATCACTTCTCCAGGCAACCTGTTCCAGTGCCTCATCAGCCTCAAAGGAAAACATTTTTTCCTAATATTTAACCTAAGCTGCCCTCTTTCAATTTTAAAGCCATTCCCCCTTGTCCTATCAGTTCTTGCCTTTGTAAAAACTTTTCTAAACTTATGGAAAGCATAGTGAAACTGCTGATCTTCTTAAAACATTCTTGCATTGTTTTCCTGGATTTGAACTACAAAATATAAGGAAGAACTAAAGAGGGAACAGTTATTTAGTGTCAAGAGTGTTCAAAATGTTTTTCGTAGTAAGTTTCTGTCTAAAGTTTAAGCAGGTTACGCTACACAAGAACTTACATCTTTGCCACGTTGAGCAGACACTAAAAGCAAAGATTAAATGGAAAACACATCTTTATATTAATTATAGATGGCTAGTGTTTCTCAGGACCTAAGGGAAATAAACAAAAGTTCTCAGCTCCTGAAAGTTTGGAGTGTATTGCTTTAAATCAGTAAATGTGGGCAATTTACATGCCTAACATGCCACATATCAGCATGAAAACATTTGTCAGAAATTGATGAATGAAACAAGAAGAATAATGAAGAAAAATGACATATATACAAACCCTCCAGAGAGCAAAATAAACAATGTAAGTGTTTGGTAAATAAATCCCTGCAGAACTCTCAGAAATGAGTCACTGATTAATTGAATCAATCCATCAACCTTTCGTGATTACGTCTATATGCAGTCCCTTTGATGTTCTTCTTCCATAGCTACTGTTTTAAATGCCTTTAAAATGTAAGATAAGATGTACTATGTCTATATGGAGCTACCATAAATTAATTGGATAGCCTAGTAAGATATAATTGGCTGATTCTGTTACTTAATTCTTATATGTAATGCTGTAAATAACCATATCACCTTATAACTACTCCAAGTTCTTTTTTACCTGCTCTTCTCCTTTTTTTGATTTTTTTTTTGTCATCTACTTCTACAACTAAGTGAAATTTAACAGCAGGATGAGACTGAGATAATATTTTTATTTTTTTTCTAATTGAAATGTTCTCATTAACCTACTTTATTTATAACATAAACCCTTTGTATAAAGGACTGTCTTATGTATCTGTTCATAGATTGCACTATGCTTATACATCCAGTAATTATCAGAAATAATAATTTTTGTGTATCAAATGCCTGTCTAGAAGAGAAACTCTTGGGACTTTGAATATCTCGAGAGGAGGGATAGGAAAAACTAAGTAGAAAAGGAGAGAGACTATGTGTGGTTATATATCTCCACCGTAAAATATAGTCACATAACAGGTGTGTTTATATGTGCATGTATGTGTAACTTAGTGAATTGAGACAACATGAAGCACAAATGGACACAAATGCATAAATACTAAGAACCTCATGCAAATTAAGGCAATTGCACACACTTACATGCTCTCCTAGGATCAAAATATTCACCTGCATGCATAGAAACCAACTATCTAAATGTTTGCAAGGGGGACAAAACACAATCCTGAGACAATTTTTGAAGAAAATGAAGTGTGAATTTAATCCAGTAAATGTGTTCACAAACATTTTTTATTAATTTTCTTTTAATTCACCTGTGCCTTTTGTAGGTCTGGATATTTATGACTTTTTGTGTACTCAGTGAACTATAGCTTCAGCAAATGTAATTGCACGTGTGAAATTGATTCCTACCAGGGCTTGCTGTGTCTCATGGCTTCTGTAATGCTGCCAACCTTTACCATTCTGTTAAATGTCTCCCTCTCTGGGGCTTTTTGGGGATGTATGTAACCATGTACTTCCTCTTCCCATTTTGCACACATCCTCCACGGCTGCCATCGCCACCTTTATGTGAGTGACAAAAAGCAATATGTAATTTTGGGAGGGTATTTGGGGTTGTGTTCAGGAAGAGAGACAGTGAGAATGGGACAAGATGGTGACAGAGAGAAAGAAATTAAATAGGTATGAAACATCTGTGTGGCAGAGCTGGAGGCTGTTGGAGAGCACATGCTGAATATGAATATTCTTCTTCACCTAAAGCTCCCCATAATCTGCTTCCCAGCAGGACAAAGGCAAAGCTGGGAAAGTAATAAGGTACCAGATGGCAGTAAAGACCTTTTTCCATTGATGGATGCAGAAGTATAGCTTTTGTACAGATATAATTTTGAATCAGAGATGACCACAGGCATTATTTTTTTTTTTATTTCACAGTGCTCCTATCTATCCAAAACAATTATCCCAAGGCATTTGGAAGTCCCAAGAGCTAAGTCTTCTACTCTACAGAGAGCAGAAAAGGTGGTCTTTTTATTGGATTTTTTATTAAAAAAATGCCTTTCATGATCTTGGCAGGATTTGGAAGACACTTGTAAAAGACATAATCTGTCTCAATTGATTTCTGAGAGATAAAAGTGCATTTTTAAAAGACTCTTGTTTTGTACATATGGAGAGATATACAACAAATGTATGTATGATGCTACTTAGAACTTCACATTTGGTATAGTATCTTCCTAAACCATTCAGCTATGCCAAGGTCTCTAACTAGCTGCCACTGCTTCTCCTGTTGAAGGTCTGAACAGAGGGACTCAGGACTTGAGATCAAACAGAGTTGATTTCTCCAGTCCATGTTAGGAGATGAAGCATATTGGTGGCTACAGGAAGAAAATTTCTTTTACTGATTGATTCTGTGTTGTGCCACTTCTGTGTGTGAATGAGTAATTGCAGTCTAAAGGGCAGTTTCTTTTATGCATTGTAATTGCATTTAATACTGCACATAGCTTGAAGCAGACCAATTAGCTTAACAACTGTCTTCATCTTTCTCCAAGGAGTGATGCACGCTGCAGTGCTGTCTGCAGTGTTGCTGTGCATTGATTCTTCAACAAAACCTGGCTTACCTTTAGAGTCTGCTGTGAATCCACCTGTACTGGGAAGAAGCCAGATTCAGACTAGCTAGAAAATAAACTCAAGAAGTCCATCACTTTCAGCTACTCCTCGTGCAGTCAGCAAGCAATACTTACACATAGACAATTCAAGGGGCTTTCCATCTTTGTGAGAAAAGTCCTCCTCCTCCTCTTAGTATTTGCATTCAAAAATAAAACAGAGGACAGGAAATGAAAATATTACAAGCTGGAGTGATTCACGGTGTGCGGAGTTTTGCTTTGGCTACTATCAACGTGCTCAAATGTCAGGTGAGCATGTGAGTGATGAAAGCCTTCAGACACTGAGTTAATGGCCATTCCTACCTGGAGACATCCAGTGATCAATACATAACTGTGCCAGACTTTGTCAAAAGTCTGTGAAGCAGTGGAGTATTTTTAACAGTATTTTTAACTTAAATTAAGCAAGTGGAGCACAAACCATTTCTCCTTACCTGACTGAAAAGTATCACTTACACTATCATGAAGACCTAAAAAATCCTAGTGAAAGAACTCTCTAAGGAGTCATCCTAAGAGAGCATAACTGAGTATCTCAAAATGTGTAGCATTCTGCTCCACCTTTATTAAATGACCTCAGGCAAGCCATCAATATATGTGAGCTCTATAAACATTTTGCCTAAGACAGGATTCCATCATTTCAGTGTAGGGACAATAAATAGCATATAAAAGAATATGAATGCAGAGGAAATATCCATGTTACATAGCTCCTTCTTAACAAATATTATTTTTGCAATACTTAACACTGTTGGCAACTCTATACCTATCATGGGTTTAAAATTCCTGATGAGTGGGCAAAACCAACCCTATTTTCTAAGTAAAGAGTCTGTTGCAGTCAGCCTTGTAAAAGAAACCTTTTACTGTCAGTGATAATGAAAATACCTGGTACATATGACAGCGTTAAAATGGTGTCATGACCCAGCAATTTCTATTCAGTGCTGTCACAGCCATGCACTGCACAGAACGGGATTGTCATCATGTAAATGTAATAGGATTCTTTATCCTGCATTGTTGCTCAGTTGGGAAGAGTAATTCTGAGTTTCCTGTAAGTTCTGAATATCAGCAGGGGGCCATGAATAGCTTGGAAACCTATATTTTTTCCATTTATTTTTTTTAAAATGCAAATTACACTAGTAAGTCAAAAAAATCACTTTTGTTAAAAATACATTCAGAATTAACAAATGTCAAAAGGAAAAGAAAAAAAAAAAAGGACACATTTGGATTGTACCTCTTGCCTTCTGAATATTTTAGTTTATAACAAAAGCCCAGCCTAGAAAAATAACATTCTTTACTGGATTTTGAGGAGGATACAGCTGTACACATCAAAAATGCCATCCAGATATTCTCACATTACTGTGCTCTAAACTGCTTCGAGAAGAGATCTGTCCACTAATCGTTCAGTTGAATAGTCAACAGTCCTAATTTTTTTAATGGTGGTGCTCTAACTGCAACTTAAGCAGGGTTATGAATACCAACTTCATATAGGTATGCATGTATGTGTGTGTGTATATATATATATATGTGTATATACATATATATATATACTGTGTGTATGTGAGTGTGTGTATCTACTCTATATGTAATATATGAATACACATTTATATTGCAATCCATAGTAGTTAGATGTGCTTCCTATTTCCTAAGCATTTTACAAACATTAACAATTCAGACCTCACAAAAAGCCTGTGAGGCACATATTATTCCCGTATTATAGTTGGGAAGACTAAGACACAGAGAAATTAAGGCCAAAATTTTCTAAATTAAAATCAGGCCTATAAGCTACGTGTAGACACTTCATTAAATTGTCTGACTTCTAAAATTGCTAACTACCAGTAGCTGCTGTTCCATGGGAAATCACTGAAAGGTATGAAAAATTATCTCCTGAAAATTGGATTGCTGCTTAGGTGCCAAAACTGGTTTCTTTCCATGTTAAAAAATGATTTTTATAGAAATATCATTTTGATTAACTGGTATACTGGGAAAGATAAAATAACCTGTTATGACATTTTCATCCCATTTAAACCTCTTCATTGTGTTTAATACTATACATCTGCTATATTTAATACTACATAAAAGTAGAAACTTTTAAAATCTTTCAAGTTATGGGAAATTTCAGCTTGTCAGTTGGAAGTTGCATGGAGTTTCCAGGGGGTGAAAAGCAGCTCTATCCAGTAGGAACTCAGATTTTCAGGTACCCAAGTATGAAAATTTAAATTTGAGATCCAAACCAGCAATGAATGCTTTACAGGATCAGGCCTAGGGGACATTCATGTTTCACGCATGAAATTCCCAGCCGTATCTGAGATGGGAACCCTCAGTACACTGCATCAGAATCTTCCTGGGTGATGCAGCCCCCAACAATAGTTAGTCCTGTGTATTTTATATACATAGACATACACACACATTCACACACTTACATATATATATATCTACCTATATCTATATAAATCTCACCGAATCAATGTAGGTATAGTTCCTGAACATGTCCCGTATCTTGTGTTCTCTGGGGAATGCCTGTTCCTCTGTCATTGTCCAGAGTTGCTGCTTGTGACACTGTACATCCATGCAGACACAGCAAAGGGCACTGGCTCGTACAGGGATGGGTGAGTGGTGTGAGTGCACAGGCCTTTGGAGCAAGGGTTTGGCCAGCAGGGAAAAGGGAGTTGCTCGGGGGTGCCTCGAGCATTTCCAAGCACTGACCTTCCCTCTTGCCCTCAAAAGCTATGTGGTCACCTCAGGTGTGGTAGGTGCGTGCGTTTGTCTATGCAAGGTCTGAGCAAAGAAACAATGACAATCCAAGTTCCTGAAAAACCTGAGCAAAATATTGGGTTTTCCTAGTGAAAGCCGTCTACGTTCTTGAAAATACAGATCAGATGTAGAATAAAACATATGTTCCTAGGAGTTCAGAGTATTTCATATACACATTGACCTACTAGCAAAATTCCCAAAGGCATCTTGTTGCCAACTACATAACAGCACAGAGTTTTTTCAGCCACAATAATACAGGAAGATAAAATACACGTTCTAACACACAACAGATCCCCCAAATATACCACAAAAAGGTCTTCAGTATTTCTTCAACTCAACTAGTCCCTCCCTGCCCTCTTCAACCAAAATCGAAAAATAAAATATGTGGATCCCTTATGGTGCAATTAGAAAAAAAAGTTCACTTACAGAGAAATTTTAGTTGAAATAAGATATAAAAGAGTAAACGTAGCTAGTACATATTCAGTTGGCCTTTGTTCATAGAAATCTGCAGATGTGTCTGTAGTTAGTAAAAGATGTTTAGAGATAGCTATAAAAGCACCTACAGTGCAATAAATAAAACCAGCGGGATTAAGAAGCACTATTTCTGCTGCTTATTTCCAGTAGGTTCAATTATTAGTTTCTGTTACCCCTTTCCCCACCCTGACCCCCAAAAGGTCTCATTTATTTATTTATTCATTTTTCTTTTTAATCATTATAAACTGTTTCTTGACCACTGTGGAGCCCCAAAAGTAAAGCACTTATCAGACAGCTGGCAGTTTTCTACTTGGTTGCTCTGGAGCCATGGACCAACAGAGCCTTATTCCCTGACATGAAAACAAAGCAAAACCAAACAGAAGAAAACCACTGACTTTGAAATCGTTCAGAGTTAACAGCAGCATGTTAACTTCAGAAAGCTTGCACGTAGTTTCTCTAATGTGCAACGCAGTTGGGTTAAGGCAAGTATGAACTGTACAGCCTTCAGGGCAAACAATGCGCTGTCTATTGACTTCTGCTGCAAGGTCATCCTGGTATTTCAGTGTTGTGTGGACTGAGGAGACTCAACGTGGCCCAGAGTGTGGAGGAGGCTCCCACAGCACTGACTGGGCTGGGCTGGGTTCATGTCTTAATCCAGATGGGCCCTGCTGGCGGTGGCAGGGGAAAGAAAGGGACAAAAGGTGGCACCAATGCCTCTGCTGTGTCCCTCTGGTGCTGCGAGGCAGGAGGTCCAAGGAGGGGGTCTGGGGCATCTCCTTTAGTACCTGTTAGAAAGAGAGGCTGAAGATCTCTGTTGTTTTCTGTCTCACTGTTCAATCAGCTTTTATACACTATTTGTAGCACAACAACTGGATTTCTTTTCTCTTTGGAGAACCAGGAGGCCATCCTGAAAGAGATTTTTTGAAAGGTCCTCCAGCCCACCTTGAGTAGTCCCCATGTTTACTTTGACCTAGAAGAAAGATAGAGAAAGAACAATACTTATAATCCACCATATACTTATCTGATCCCTGCCCTGCTGCTCTGGTGCCCTTTTGCAAGCAAGTGTAATCCACAATCCAGTAACAGTTCAGGTACACATGGGATGAAGAGGACAGAAAGACAAAGTGTTTACTCAAGTAACTGCTTGGCTCTCTCTGGAACATTGTCAGAGAAGTCAGCACAGGCTTTCTAAACAATCTTAGGCAGGAGTTATATTTAATTACAATCTTAACTGTATGTCCATGGGTCAACTGGAATATGACCTGATTTATATAATCCATCAGATATGTAGCTGTCTTTGTAAAACCAAGAAGTGACGTGGTATGAGGACAGAAGGGTTGAATTGCAGGTGCAGAGGAAAGCTGCCCACAGCTCACTCACAAAGCAGAGAGCCTGTGCAAATGCCACAGCCTGGCCACCTTAACAGTGTTGTCCCAAACCCATGTATTGTGACTAAAGCTTTCGGTCTAAAATGGACAAGATGTTGCTTGTTGATAATGAAAGCTTAGGTGGTAGTTTATTTAAATGTGTCTGAATGCCAAAACACGGGGAGATAATTACACAGAATATTTGTATATGTATGAACTTGCCAAATGTCATGGTGGTTATACTCAAGGTGCTAGTTTTAGTGTATTTTTTTGTGTTTCACTTATACTTTACGTGAATGGTGAAGTAGGTAGCACCTTCACTATGTGCAATTATCTAGACAAATGCCTATATGTGTGTGTGTATGGGAGTACAGATACTGCAAATATTCTTAGGCTTCACAATAGGAGGAAAGCATGCTTCATTTCAGGGCTGCACTGCTTTTGAGCAATTTCTCCAGTGCATTAGGCATCAGCATCAGACATGCATGGGTTTTTTTGCTTCACTTCTTCTTTTCTTGAACAAACAAGTTCAATGTGAAGAACATAAAGAAAGATCTCTCTCCCCTCCCTCCTTCCTACTGTTTTTAGAACAGTGATCATGCAGTGCAGTCTTGTTCCACAACTACAACTGTGTTTTCTCATGTGCAGCAGAATCAGTGTCAGGGAGTGTTTAGTCACCTTCCTCGGTCACCTCCCAAGAGGAAAATTTTGTCTTGACAATTGATTTCCGCCATCTTATTGTGTCCTTGTCCCACGGTCTGGCAATGAGCACTGGCATCTCCGGCACAGAATGCCAGGAAGCTGCTTTTGAGTACATCAGCTGTGGCCACACTGCAAGGAGGTACATGAGCATCGGTTCTGTCCCGTTCTGTTCAAAAAGCGTACTCGTTTTGAAGGGACTGTCTAGGCTTCTTGGCTTGTACAGCATAGAGCACACTGTTGGCACTTAAATAATAAAAAAATCCCATTTATAACAGGTAGAGAAATGTCACCATAAGAATTCTTCCCCAAAACATCAGTGTTTTATTTAAAACATAGTTTTAAACTGCATATATTTTTCACTTTAAAAAGTAAACTGATTTAAATTAAATATGAAATTGGAAGAGGTGATAAGGAAAACTGTGATTGGAATTCAAAGCCTAAAACATAGAGAAAAAAACTTCAATGTGAGCCTTAATCTAATAATCCTAGACTATTAAAGGTAACAGTAGCCAGAGATAGTGACTTCAATTAACTACCTCAAGATAATATTTCTTTTTCAGAAACCAAGATTTTTCTTTTCCATAGATATCATTTTCATTTAGGGTAGTTTTGCATAACCGATGAAACACCACAAAAAGTGACTATGTGTCTTTAAACTGAATTAGAATGTTCTTGAAAGTAGAGCTTGAGGATGAAAATCACAAATAAAAAGTAATAAATCTTTAGATAAAGTAGTCCTGACACAACAGAAACGTAAATTTGAGAAGCCTGAATAAATCAATATAATTTGCACATGTAAATTGGTATAATATAACGTCTACATTAACAAAATGAAGTCCTAACTTTAGCACACAGGAAGAAACTTGTTACAAAATAGTATGTCTTAACAGTTAGCAATTACTTAACCCAGCATTCCTTCAGAATAATAGTTAAATAGTGCATGTATAAAGGAGTTAAAATTGATTTAAATCACTTGGATGAAAAACTGTCTGACTTCTAAAGAAATAAGTTTCTGTTGATGGACTTCTGTCATTGCAATCCACTAAATCAATTCACATCAGCAAGCAGTATGTGGATAATGACTGAGACCTAACAAAATTCTGTATGTCTTTAAGATTTATATTAGTTCTGGATATGAATCGATCTGGGAAACATATAGGGGCTTCTCTGTTCTGTATTACTGAACTACATGTTGAAATTTGCATTTTGAAAGAATCTGAAAAGCCATTGGAAGTTGATATTGTTTTGGTGAGCTCTTCAAAGAGGAGGCCATATGCTCTCATTCCATTTTGTAGCATGCCCAACACAGCACAGCAGAAAGAACTGCTGTTGTGCCTCTGCATATAGTTAGCAATCAGATGATTCTCCTATTCTCCTGTCTCCTGTTCAATTTCTCTTATAGGTCCAGAGCTCTGTATGAGATGTGCCCGCTGTGAGTCTGAATAGGAGAGCATGCATCCGAATAGGAGAGGATGCAGTGGTGGCAAAAATCTCTATGTTTTCTTGATCTTTTGCAGGAATTAGATGGGACGATGCTTAATATATCTTCTGTTGCCTATAGATTCAAAGACATTTTATAGCAACTGATAAAGTTATGGAAATAGTTATATGAATACAGCAATATAGACATATATGGGTATAGTTGTAACCTGGATGGACATGATTATAGCTTGGACAGTGGTGAAAGCATGACTGTAAAGTAGAATCCTCTCCTCTCCTCTCCTCTCCTCTCCTCTCCTCTTTCTATATTAAATAATTTTTGCTTATTACACATACTCTAGAGGTTTTGAGCATTGTAAACTGGAGATTATAATGGCCAGAGAATAACATAAAGCCCTGCTGTGTTTTTTCCTTTTCTTTCCTTGAATACTATGAAGGCTTACATTGGTGATATTTGGTGAACAAGCTCCATAGGGAAGTAAACCTTTCCTCCCAACAAATAAAGCTTCAAAATACCAAGTATGGCCTGCTGTTATCATATCAGCATGTTTTGATTTCTAATACATAATATTGCTGTAAATAGTGCTACAAGCAGATCAAACCTTGACTTGATTAACTTGACATTCAAATTTGTCACTCCACAACCTAATGGACTGCCTACATTTATAGAGCAACTGCAATGTGAATACATATGCATGTGTTCCTGGTGTGCCTCAGCTGTAAATAAAGAAAGGTATTACTAAATGCTATAAAAGTCTCTTAAGGACAGATTGCAACAATCCTAGAGAACCCTGTCAAATGCTATACAGTCAGAGGGAAACATGAAGTGTCTTTGTTTGACTGCGGCTGGGACATGGCAATACTTTTGTGGGTTGATTGGACAAAATGTCAACTCACATTCTGATTTCTGTCTCTCATTTAAGACAGCTAAATCACCTATACTCCAGTGAGCATGTAGCATTGAAATAAGAGGGAACACAGTTTACACGGATTAATCATCAATCTCTTCATTTTAGCTACAAGTTAAAAAATATTGCCTTCTATCTCTATTTTTTTTTTTTTTTCACAGGTCTAGCTTTCTTTCCAGTCGGTATGAAGATGCACAGTAAATGCAATCTGCTGTTCTGGAAGAAACACCAAAAGCATAAAGAGAATGGGATAATAGCTAGGGGGCTCCGTATGTTGATGACAAGGTATGGTATACTAAAAAAGAGATAGGATTAGAATTGTTCTAAGTACCTATGCACCTCATATAATACTATGAAGGAAATAACATTTTCAAAATGTGCAGCACTGTGCCAAAAGTGCAGGTGAAAAATATTTACTTCAGCACAGACAGATGGGAAGCTGAAGTTAAGACGGCATTGGAGATATGCACTATTGTAATTTGAGATTATTAAAAAGCTCCTAGCAAAGCTCCTGACGGGCCCAGTTCCAAACATCACCACAGAACAGATTGTACCACCGATAAAGGAATAAATGCAAGATTCCATGCAAAAATACACTAATCCATTAGCAGACTTGCTTCCACTAATCAGAAGAAATGAAATTGCATTCAAAGGTGAGTGGAATTGTATGTTGGGATGGCTACTGTTTGCTTGAACTTAGTTCTTTTTCTCAAAAGAAATGTTCAGAACAGACACAAAGGAAATAGATGTAACTATTGCCCCTTTATGAGCTGCTTGATGCTGTGCTTTTAGTGTCTAGGGCATTGATGGCAAATAAAAAATATTTCAAAAGGCTGCAGCAGTGAGGTAAGATTTATCTGGGCAGTCATGACTGTTCTGAATTTCAATTGACATCAGTACAAGAAATATTTGCAGACGATTATTCCTGGGCTGGTCTATGGTTGTGTGTCAGCTCTAGTGTGAATATACTCCAGTTGTGTGTATGAGCTGATATTTGACTACCCATTTAATTCCCAAATGTATCAGACTTCACTCTAAGATGGAGTTGTCACTCAATGGTTAGGTAAAATACTGTCTCCTATTCAAACCGCCTTAAAACGCCATATGTTGTTACATTTGTTTTGCCTTTTTTAAATGTAGAAACTGGAAATGAGGTACAGAGGTGCCTTGGTAAACAGATGCTCTGGTAGGACAAATGCTAAATGCATCCACTACATTCTCAAGATGCTGAACTTTTGGTAAAACTTAAGAAAAATTCACTTTTTTTTTCCACAACCAAGGTTTGTAATAGATGATCAATGTTTTTCCTACACCAAATTGTCACTGTCTCTGAGTGGAACCTGCTTGAATGAAAATAGGGAAAAATCAGGTGAGAACTGGATGCTGTTTGAACAACTGTGACACAGGATATCCTGCCCTAAGAAATCATTATAATTCAACACAAGAGTAATGTTGGTGCTTAAGTGTAACCTGAATTCAGTCCATCAAAAAAGCCTTCTGCCTATTCTGAATTTTGAAGTCATGACATCTTTCAGCTTAATGATCCTTTAATATCAGGCTGCCACTCTGCTGAATATCCCAGAAGTTAAGTACTTACATATACATGGGCTGTAGCTGTAAATGAGATGTCTTCTGTGGACCTTGATAGCCGTAAGAGTCAAATCCACCTATGAAATCAACTGAAAGGGGAGAAATTGCTTTCATTAGCAACACCTTTTCAGAACTGATGGGCGCTCTCATTCAAGAAACACCCAGCACACAGATTATTTTTGACAGGTCCTCTAATCTGTTAATATTAGACCAGCTAATTGGAAAGATACAGAAAAACAATAAAAAAGTAAGCAAAAGTAAAGTCCCCTTTTTTTCCCTTTTTTTAAAAAATCAATTAAATTTTAAAACCACATAAAAACAGGAAAGGATTTATAACAACTATCTTTCCACCAGAAATAACCACACATCCCTCTTTTTCAAGTAGACCACCTCACTGATACAAAACAACGTGCTATTCAGACATTACAAATGCTGAAAACCATTTATTTATTGGCATGAATCCATTGCTTCTGACTGTGATTACTGTGTCTGGCTTGCTGTCATACCATGGCTCAGTAGAGGATATAGAGGAGGGAGTGCATTGATCCAACTCTGTCTGAGAGACAGAAGTTTCTCTGATTCTCTGCTTTGACATTTGGGTTGAAATGCATGAACAGAGTTGGAACAATTTATCTGAGCTTCAGAGATGAAACTTCACAGATGTAAGGAAACCTGCATTTCTCTCAAGATGCTGAAGGTCTGTAAGAAGGTTGTAGGGTGGGAGTTATTTATTAATTCACACAATTGCCAGTTCCTGATGTCTTTCTTATGTTTGTTTTAAACAACGGAACAATTGTTTAATTTTAATTTTAATTTTAATTTTAATTTTAATTTTAATTTTAATTTTAATTTTAATTTTAATTTTAATTTTAATTATTTGTTTGTTTTAAACATTTAAACAATTTCCAGGAAAATTCAATCTCATCAATAGGGTCTCTCAAGACTCCTATTTCTCTCTAAAACACTTTCTTTGTACAGGTAAAAGGGTGCCCTTTGCTTCCTTTGTCCCAGGACACTCAACTATTGGCTTATAGGGGTTATTTGGGGGCAGTTCTTGACCCTGAAATATTGTCTCTTACAACACAGATCTGAATTGGACTTTACTTTGATAGAAAAGGGCCAAAGAGTTCAGGTAAGGAAGTGCATTTTTCACATGTCTGGTCACTGCTACTGACAGATTGGCTCTGTGTACATTAAAAGCAAAAAAAAAAAAAGGTTATTTGATGGACAACAACTTCTTGTGGATCTAAAATGCAGTTACAGTCACAAACAACATAAAAGTAAATTTACGTGGTTTGAGAACCTCCACAGTTGTTTTAATACTAAGGTACCCCTCAGTATGTGCCACACTTAGTCACACTAATCAATACAGTTTCATCCATTTCAGACATGTTGCCAAAAAATCAGATTCTTGTACCCCTCCATCCACCATTTACTCTGCAAGCAAAGATCTACCAAAACACTGGCTGGGTACAGTATGTCTCCATTGCAACTGCACACATGTTGAATCTGTCATCAAGTCATTCTTTGCAGGCAAGAATGGCCCCTGCAGAAATAATTTATCCAGCTCTGTGCTCTGTGGCTGCATTATGTGTATTCCTATCCCAGAAAGATGTGTTACTAAATTAATCCCTGACATCTCTAATGAAGGAGGTTCTATTGCCTCTCTGTGTTGCTTTTCCCTGTGCCTAATTTCCTAATGTCTAATTTAAACGTAATTTCCTGCAAATTAACTACTTATCTACATTTTGGCCTTTTTTCCCTATGGATATGAAGAAAAATGAGCCTTTTTTTTCTCTTATAGCTGCTTTTAAGCTTTTTAAAAAGTATTTCATGCTATCCATTGTTTTCAGGTTTAAGCAAACCTAGTTATTTCAAATTTTTCTCAGAGCTCATGTTTTCCAAGCCTCTACATTTTGAAGCCTGAAGATCCTTCCTCAGTTTACTTATGTTTTTCTTACAATGGGGTGCACAAATCAGGACTAACTGGGACAACTGCCATACAGTCTTCTGTGCATTACCTGAAATAATTCTGTAGGTTTTGAGGTTTTGTATGTTTGGGTTTTTTTCTCTTGTTTTTGTTGTTCTTGTTTTGTGTCATTTGGGTTTGGTTTCCAATTTTCTTTTTCACAGCATCCTACAAACGTTTAATAATCAGCTATTTATTTTTTGTTTTGACACTAACTGTAGCCTAGCCAAGTAGCCCATATTTTATTTGAAGATGACTGATTCTTCCCCACAGGAGTTCTTTTGCACTTGTCTGTACTGAATTTCACCTTCTTGATTTCAAGCCACTTCTCAAGATTATTTTGACTTCTAATCCTATCTTCACAAGTGCTTGTACTCTTCCCAGTCTAGTTTAATCTTAAATTTTTGCATAGGTTCTCTCTTCTAACCTCGTTGTTGTTAATAAAAATAATGAAGAGAATTATTTCCCTAGCTGAGGTTCCAGTGGTATCCCATCTGAAATGTCCCATCTGCTTTATAACAACATTTCAAATAGAGTTTTAAACAATTCTGCACTCAACCTATGCTGACTGCATCTGGACAGTACTTCCCCAAATTTCTTACAAATATTTTATAGTGTCAAAATCTTGCTAAGATCAAGACAAATGTAATTTCGTTGCTTTCTACTTAATCAATGTCTGTAACCATCAGAATACCTTTATCAAAATGTGATCATGTCTTTGGGAGTATACTAAGTTTGCAGGCAGAAAATGAAGGATATCTTTTGGTGCTAGGCTGTGAGGAAACCATTTAAATTTTCAAATACAAAGATTGCATAAAAAAGAATGGATGTATGTTTGCTGCAGGTATGGTTTGTTGTTTGCTTGCCCAATTTTCTTTTCTTTTTGTAACACTTGATCCCTGACAACACAAGTCAGAAAATACCTGTGTTGGATCAAGTGCCTCACTGTGCACATCAACCCGTGCCACTTTAGGGATATTGCTTATACTCATTTATCCAGCTTTGCATTTCTTCTGTACTTTCCTAGAACTTTTTTGTTCAAGCAACCTGTAAAACATGAGTAGTAGGCTGCAGGCATAGATGCTCTGCTTTGCAGATGTGGGGCAAAAGGTTGTCTTCAAGGTTGTTTTCAGAAAGCTAAACCAATGTGTTAAGAAAAAGATTTCTTTGAGCAAAATGATTTTGTGTGAGCATGAGGGAAAGATGCATGCTGAATATCTCTTCATGCACGGTGGCTTTGCCCTGTTGTACAGAGCAAGCACAGAGTGTTAGTAAGCCGGATTGCCAAGTGACAAAGCAAGGTCGTGGAGACATTTCTGTGTTCAGCTCACTATAGAAGTTCCCATGTGTGTAACCAAATGATGGCAGGGCAGAGAGTACTACCATGACCTCACTGGAGACATACAATGGCTTCTTGCAGGCGACAACAAGCTTTGCAAGGTAGGTGGAGGGAAGTAATAGAAAGTGAACTCCAATTGGAAAAGATTTCATCAATCTGTTTGTAGCAAGGTTTCTTCATGGCGGCTGCTTCTCAGCACTGCAAACCCTGTGGTGTCCAGACTGCACTAAAAGCTCCCTGTGGGCTCTGAGATAGTTTCTTAAAGCATGCATCAGGCTGCCCTTTCTGCAGGCATTTTATCCTGGCTGTGCCTGAAAGGTCACTAAAGTGTTGTACAGCTGATGCTTTCCTGGCAGCCATAACATCAGATGAATAAAACAAGGCTCATTAGCTGGATCAGTACAGAGGCTTCCATCCTTAGCTCCATACATCAAACAGTTTTTTGACTATTCTATCTTACATTCATCCTACATGTCACTGTTATGACAAGAGGTTCATGTTGTGTTTCACTTTAGTAAAAGCACACATGAACATACAAACATAATCCCATTCCTTTTGTGGTGGTTTGACCCTGGATGAACATCAGTTGTCCACCAAAGCCACTCTGTTACTCCCCTCCTCAGCTGAACAGGAGAGAGAAGACATAACAAAAGGTTCATGGGTCCAGACAGAGACAGGGAGAGATTACTCAGCAATTACCATCACAGGCAAAATAGCCTTGAATTATTACCATAGAAGAGCAGGATAATGAGAAATAGAGCCAAATATTAAACCTTCTTCCCAGGCTCAACTCCTGATTCTCTGCCTTCTCCACCCCAGTGACATAAGTGAATGAGGAATGGGGGTTGTGGCCAGTTCATCACATGCCTCTCTGCTGCTCCTTCCTTATCAAGGGGAGGACTCCTTGCATGCTTCCTCTGCTCCAATGTGGGGTCCCTCCTATGGGACACAGTCCTCCACAAACTTCTCCAGTGTGAATTCTTCCCACGGGCAACAATTCTTCATGAACTGCTCCAGTGGGTGCTTTCCACAGGGCGCAGTCCTTCAGGAACAGCCTGCTCCAGCGGGTGTCCCCTCAGGGTCACAGGTCCTGCCAGCAAACCTGCTCTGCTGTGGGCTCCTCTCTCCATGGGCCCACAGACCCTGCCAGGAGCCTGCTCCAGCACAGGCTTCCCACAGGGTCACAGCCTCCTTTGGGCACCCCCTGCTCTGCCCTGGAGCCCTCCCTGCTCTCCTCCCCATGGAGCTCCCTGGGCTCTGGGTGGATCTCTGCTCCCCATGGAGCTCCCTGGGCTCTGGGTGGATCTCTGCTCCCCATGGACCTCCCTGGGCTGCAGGGGCACAGCATCCACATGGTGTGCACCAGGGGCTGCAGGGGAATCTCTGCTCCGGTGCCTGGAGCACCTCCTCCTCCTCCTTCACTGGCCTTGGGGTCTGCAGAGTTGTTGCTCGCACTCTGATTCCATTCTTCAACTGAAGTTGTGCAGTGTTTTCCCCTTCTTAAACCTGTTATCCCAGAGGCGCTACCCCTGCCACTGACAGGCCAAGCCTTGGCCAGTGTATCTTGGAGCTGTCTGGCATTGGCTCTATCAGAAGCCACAGGAGAAGCTTTTAGTAGTTCTTCACAGAACACACTCCTGTCGCCCCCTCAAAACTTGGCCATACAAACCCACCTTTGAAATATTGTGTGCTGAAATTTTTATTTTCTTAGCTGGACTCAAATAGGATAATAGCAGTATTACTTATCTGTAAAATGTGTTTAAAAATTCAGATTATTTTCT